ATAATAATAAATAATTTATATTTGTTGAAATATTAATATTTATTAAATAAATAAATGAATTAATTTATTAAATATTGAAACAATTATGAAATATATATTATTGCTACGATGTAATAACAAAATAGAAAGCTTAGTGGATAATGAAACTACTATTTATTTATTTATATTTTTTCTTTTCTCTCTTCTTAACTTATAAGCTTTATTTTATTTAGAACGATGGATCATAGATGCTATCATGAAAGAAGAAAAACAGAAAGTGCACATGAATGATTTTTACAAGAGAATTTGTCTGTATAATTACAACTATTCACCTCTTATTATTTGTCTACAATGGATGTTGATCAAGACAAGGAATAGTGGCCAAAACTGCTCTCACGATTATAAACCCAAATAATCAACTTCTCTAAAAGAAAAAAAGAACAAAAAAGCAGGGAGAGATGCAAAGGGAGAAAGAAGAAGATAAGGTAAAGAAAAAAAAGAAGCAGATGTTACATTTTAAAAAAAGTTGGATGGGTACGGAACTGGTTTCTCACCATCCTGTTTTTTATATATAATATTGCCAACTTGCTATTTGACAATCAGTATGCAAAATTTTATTTTCTTTTAAATTTTGTATTCTTTTATTTTTTTATTCATTTCAATTATTTTCTTTTGAAACTTTTATCTCATTTGAATTATTATTTTTACACTGTAACAAGGAGTTTTTTTTCTCTTCAAATAATCATATTTTTTAATTTTTTTCTCGAATAATCATATTTTCAAAAAATTTACTAAATTAACTATTTTCCCCAAAAAAAAAATTCGCCACACAGAGGAGGAGTCACTCTCTGTGGCGAATGCATGCTATTTAAAGAGGGAGTGCCACACTCTATAGATTGTTCTCTTCTGTAAAGTCATGTAGTGTGGCGCATGCATATAATGTCAGAGAGGAGGCGTCATCTACTGTGGCTTGACAGTTGAATTTATTACATGCATGCGCCATAGTAGATGACGCCTCACATTACATACATGCGCCACACTGCATGGCTTTACAGAAGAGAACAACCCATAGAGTGTGGCGCCTCCTCTGTAAATAGCATGCATGCGTCACACCGAGTGGCTCCTCCTCTGTGTGACGAATTTTTTATATTTAAAAAATAGATAATTTTGTAAATTTTTTGAAAATGTGATTATTTAAGAATTTTTTTAAAAAAATATGATTATTTGAAAAAAAAAATCCTGTAACAAGTTTTAGTTCACAATTCCCCATTCTGCAAATTGCTTTTACGGTTCAATATGACTTTCTATAATTTTGTTGTGGGATTTCAAGGTTGGTTTTAAATATTTTGGGTGTTATGAGCTTTTGATTGCATTTTAAAGAAATGTTACATATCTTGCAATCAATATTTATGTAGAGAGATGTGAATTTTAATATATCTCTTAAATTACTCTCTATTTTATGTACAGTATTATAGGTTTGAGAATGTCAAATTAAATTTAGACAGATGGTAATGTAAATTTCACGTAAATAAAAGGATTATGAGACTATCTCTTAAATTATTCTCCATTTTTTCACTTTGATCAATTCTAACTCTTAAAAATTTCCACCACCAAGACTACAACTTTAAAAATATTATTCATGTAAATGAGAACTCTTTGTATAAATGAATACATGTTTATTTCACTTTCTATATTTCATTGATATTTATTTTATATGAATAAATATTAACTATATCACATATTTAATACAATTAATTTATTATCACAAAATTTATTATATGAATAATTTAAATTATGATCAAATTAAATAAAAAATATATTTAGGTTTTGACGCGTGTGTATATTATAAAAAGCGGATAAACGGACCTACTTTTCTTCCTATTCTACCCTTCAACCACTTGGTAAGTTACATGGTTTCTTCCTTAATAATAACTATATAATAACGGCATAAAATATTTGCAGCAGTTACAGAAGCAAAACAAGTAGTTTTGTTTTTTTGTTTTTAAAACATAAGGATGATACATTACGGTTATAATTTCTCTGTCTAGGATTTATTATTAATATTTAGCAAACAAGAAAGTAATACTCTCAATTGTTATCTCACCTGTTTTTCACTTTCTACTGTTTGTCTCAAACTAAAATTGAAATTGATTAAAACCGAAAAAAGAGAAAGATATGGCGAAATTATTGTGGGAGTGAATATGTCGCATAGTAGTCGGTACGGAAGGAAATCCTCTCCATAAAGCTGAGAAAATTACACGCCACTGAGACTCTCTTATGCATTCTAAATTGTTTTTTTCATAAGAGAATTTTAAAAACCAGACTAAATCGGCTAGTTCAACTAGTTAGATTGGGAATTAGAGTTGAGTTCGGTCTAATTAACCTTTTAAAATCGTCAATGGATCAAAATCGAAATAAAACCAAAAAAATAAATTGAACCAGAGTCAATATTGTAAAATCGTCTAGTTAAAGAAAAAGTATCAAATTGACCATTTGTTTTTGAAAAATTTAATACGTAAATATCAAAACTTAAAACATTCGACATTCTCAAAAAATTATTCTTTATTTTTTTACAACTATATAAATTTCTAAGTTCTATCGCTCTATTATAGTTTTTTCTGTCAACAAGGATCTATCATCGTCACACCGTCTCCTTTAAACATAGTCATATTATCCAACTCAATATTAATTGCCGTTCAACTCAATATTTTTTTTGTTCTCTAATTATGACTTGTTTGCTATTGTGCAACTCACTTTCGCTTACTGTTGTTCAATTAAGTATATTATATTATTTATTTTTGGTAATTCTATCCTATTTAATTTAAGTATTCTTAATAATTTGAGTTTAATTTAAGTATTATGTTATATTATTTTAATTTTGGTTTAATTTATTTTTATTTTAATTCTTTAATTTATTTAAATTGTTCTAAACTAAAGGTTGAAATTAAACGTACAATCAAATTGTGTTAATATGTGCCATCGATTTTGTTGTATTAAGTTTGTAATGAATTTAAAAAAAAATATTATTTTATTAAATTGTGAACGTAAGATTGTGTATAACGCGTATATGACATTTAGTTTCATATTATTAATTTATTTAATAAATGGTTTTCCCGTAGGTTTAATTTTAAATCGAGAGTTTCACTAATTCAACCTCATATTCGATTTTTAAAACATTAGGCCTAGGGACCAAGTTTCAAATCTCACATTTTCCATTTTTTTCAATTGACACCTTTTTTATTATTATTTTTTATCTATTTCTTCGGTTGAGAGTTTCAATTGAGAAGAAATATCAACTTTGTATTTTAAATGACTTTTTTTTTTAATTTTTTAATTTATCTATTCTCTTTCTTGGGAGTTCCAACCGAGAGAAAATTTTAGCTTTGTATTTCTTATGGCGTATTTTTTTAATTTATCTATTCCCTGAGTTGGATGGTTAAACAAAGAGGAAATCTCTTTTGCATGTATTTCTAAGAACTAGATTGTAACTTTCATTTACTTTTCAACTCTCATTTTAATCTTCATTCTCCTGTGAAATTGAACGGTATCTAAACAAAATATACCCTAAGATATTTTGCTCTTCATCTTCCCCACTGAAACCCCTTAAACATATTTTTAAACTCAAATTTCCTCATCATTTTTGAAACATCATCTCTTCCAACACACATACGTGTTTGAAATTTCATTTCTCCCTTTAAACATTGAAGCACCAAAGAAGTTTGAAACAAAAAGGAAAGGCAACCAAACTCGAACGAAACTTCCTCCACCATTGTCATATCTTCTTCATCTCCTTTTCAGTATGTAAATTATTTGATTTTTCTTTATTTCATCATAATATCTTATTTCTTTAAATTTGTAATAATTTACAACAACTTAACATACCACATCATTACCCGTGCGAACACATGAACTTTGATATATTACGCGCATATAATATTGATATTAAGTTATTGATTTAAATATTTTATAATAACGAAAATCAATACCGTATAAACGCACGAGTAACCATATCAAAATTTGTATGAATTTACGAGTTATTACATTACTTTGTACAATTAAAAATAAATAAAAAATAAAAAATTTAAAATAATGTCTAAATTTCAATACGAGAAAATGTATTATTTTTTAATTATTTATATATCTAATATTTTTATTTTAAAATTATTTTTAGTTTAAAATACAAATTTTTTTAAGATGAAATATTAAAAATTAAAATATATATCATTAATGTAAAATAATTTAATTTATATTTTTAAAAATAAACAAATTATTTTGATAAAATGATTTTATTTTATTTATATTACATTTTAAAAATAAAATCGTAGTGCAAGCCGCGGGTAACCACGGGTAATATTAAGTCGTCATCATAGGTGGGGTTAAACGCAGACGTGGCAATGCATAACAAAGAGTCTCTTTCTTTTCTTTTTCATTTCATTTGAAGAAGCAAATTGAGGACGAACGAATCCCTCAACTCTCTACTTCGTTGTGCTTACAGACCCTAACCTTCTATTCTTTCTACCTTACGAATCTCATTAGGTTAAAATGTCGCACTTTCCTTTTTTCTTTCTCTCTCTTTTACCATAACGCTTCCTTGTTTCTGTTGCGTACAAATGTTCTTTTTTATTTTTCCGCATCAAAAGGGTTTTCTTGTTGACTGCATTTTCTAGGTTTTATTTATTTCTTTATTTTGACCATTTAAAGTTCCATCAATGATGATCAACGGTTTGTTTTTGGTGTAATCATAATGTCGTTGGTTTGCTGGTTCAACTGTACTTGTATGAAGCACATATACCTGAAACATATTTAAATAAATAAATAATTTAAATGTAATCCTAAGTGTCAGGGCATGTGTCTGATATCGACAGACACACTAATTCGTTTTTTTAGAGGTGTTGGTGCTACATTGTGGTTCAATGGTGACATAATCATTTATAAACAATTTTTTGTTTTTGTATTGTGTGATACATTAAGTAATAGTCAATGGTTGAACTGGTTCATTTGATGACTCTTGCAGTGATTCAATGGAAGTAGAAGAAGTGGGCATGGACGCTGAGGATAAACTTTCAGGCTTTATTTTCATGTGCAATCAAATGACGAAACCAGAATGCTATCGGTATCGGGTTTTTGCGCTTCCTGCAGGGAGAAAGCATGTTGTGGAGAGGATCAATCCTGGCATGCACCTTTTTCTGTTTGACACTGATGCGAAGCTTCTCTATGGCATATATTTAGCAACCTCGTCCGGGATGCTAAATATAGAACCCTATGCTTTTGGGGGAAGGTTCCCTGCTCAGGTGAGCTTTTAAACCATTGTTGATTCAAACTCTTGTATTTGAAATAATAGACTTGTCTTTTTTTGGTATCCGGCTTTGTGACCGACTAAACTAAGGGACCAATCCCACAGTCAAGTTAGAAGTCTGCATGGACTTGTCCAACACAGAGATTGTTAGCACATAGTGGGATTCGAGCCTGAGACCTTGAGAGGATCACACACCCTCAGGATCCAAGCCTTCACCAATAGGCCAACTCCTGGGCTTTAATAGACTTGTCTTGTCAAGGTCACCCCTCCCTAATGCTATGTTTTAGAGGAAAAGGGAGGGGTAGACTTATTTTTTATTTCTAAGTTAAAGAAATTGTAAAATGATTCTAAAATCGATTAAAAGGCTGATTGAAATGTTATAGACTCTGTCCTCCAAAACTCAATTCCCAAAAGCAGCCTGAAAATATCTGACCTCTCTATAGACTTGGCACCCTCTGGCATGAGTAATAGTTTATCAAGTGGTGTTGGTAGCATCACCCAACTGTTTGTGGCATCAATCATGTTTCAAGTGATTGGCAAGAAGAAACGATTCATTAATGCATACATGGTATGCCAATTATATAGTTGTTTTCCAATTCGGCTATACTATTTCTTGAGTATAATGAAATTTCCCCTTTTCGAACTTGTATAAATGGCTAGTTCTTAAGTTAATGAGTTAAATTGTTGACTCTTCAAGATTATAATTTGTCTGCTGGGTGTTGATTCCCCTGTGAATACATATGGAGGAATATGATTGGCTGTGATTGGTTGGTTTGGTTTATTTGGAAGTCAAATGTATTACCTCTGACATTGTTGCAGCCTCCGGCTTGCTCTCTGACTTTCTTGTTTATCTTTATCCTAATTTTTCCTTGTTTTGTTTGGTCAATATTTTGTCAATTACTTTCACAAGTTAGTCAGTGCCTTAAGTTTTTTGACATCTAATCAGCAAGTGCCTCTCATAACTCCTATACTCGAAAGTGATGGTGACAACATCAACTGCACCATAACTATTAATGCTCCATTTTTTTCCTTCTTTTCCTACTTTCAGGTTTGCTAGAAATGATGTAAATAAGTAGCTATGATTGGTAGTCCATGTACATTCTGTAAATAGGATAGTAGTAATATTTGTCTTTATCATATGATTTGGCATCCGACCCCACCTAGTGGGATAAGGTTTAGTTGTTGTTGTTGTTGTATATGGTTCGGCATATATGGATATAGTCTATCTCTGTTGTGTAACACACAGATTCTTTCACACGCTCTCTTGTATTCTACATTTATCAACATGGTATCGAGAGTCATACGAGAGACAACTCTAATCTTTGCTTACTCAATGGACCTTCTGTCTATTGGTGCAGTTTTTTTTTTCAAAAGTTGTGCTCATCGGTGTCCCCACTTTCCGACGTGTTCTTCAACTTTTTAGGCTTTGTAGAAATTTTTTCGTCGAAGACTGCACCATAAGAAGTGCATTGTTCAACCACCCTTAGAAGTTTCAGACCAAGATAGTTTTACACATCAATTCGCTCTTTTATTTCTTGCTACATTTTTTGTAATCCGATGCCATCTGTGCTGCTTGTGGTGGCGCATTTGGTTGTTGTTCCGGACTAGCTTTCTGGTGGTAAAATTGCCTTCTCTTCCTCGTCAATCGTCACACACTTGTCAAGTGTCAATGGCCGTTCTGCTAGCCTGTCGCATGTGTTTTTACTTACGACAGTTTTTGGGTGCATTTTCTATCTACTTGGCCATACCATGGCTTCTTAGACCATATGTGAAACATATACCAAGTTTTATTTCAACATCAACCACCTATGAATTATTTTGAAGTGGTTTGAGAAACGTCAGTCCTCAACTCTCACCGACACACGAGTTGCCTATTTTGATTTTTCAAAATGGTCTTAGAAGCATTAGATCTTCTGTTCCACTGTCTCTACTGCCAACACTGATAATTCCTTTGCTTGTTTCTCCCAATTTCCTTCCATTAGTCATTGGCTTCTCCATCTGGGGCCACTGCTCATATCTCAGGTTATAAATCCTTATTAACTAAACTTTTGACCTATGATTGTTTACCAATGGTTGCTGTTGGAATTTCCGCCTTAATTGCGCTCCGCCCCTAGTCGCCTTAATTGCGGCACTTTGACTTGCCTCATTGCAATCCATAACACCTTCATTGTGTTGGCTTTGAAGGGGTGGATTTAGTCCCACTTTGCTTAGAGATATGGCCTGTGTTGAATTTGTTGGAATTAGTAGCAATTATGAAATGTTGGAATTGTAACAATTATTAGTATGAGAAGTTGCAGAATCTAGTTAGTCTTGCATCTAGAAAATAACATCCATGCACCTAGGAAATAGCCTTATTATTAATCTCATTGTAAATGTAAATTGCAATTATTTCTAGTGGTATATATAAATAGATTGTTGAAGATTAGCACATATCAAATCATAATCATTTGATTCTGATTTGTCAAGCTGATACAAAACAGTGGTGTAAATAGATTTATTATCTATTATTCTGATTTCCTTATTTAGGTAGCAGCAATTATAGGAAATTATTTCTCTGTTTATTAACAAATTAGTGTACTGTATTCTATATATACCTCACAATGTAACAGTTCTAATATAATGAAATATACAACATATTTCTATATGGTATCAGAGCATAAGATCTGAACCATCCATAAACCTTGAGCACCACCCATGACAGATACTAAAGCAGAAAATTCAGCCAACAGTTTGGCCGAAGGACATGCTCTTCCTATCACTGGTCACAAACTGAATGGCCAGAATTACAATCAATGGGTGCGCTCAGTCAAAATCTACCTTCAAGGAAAATGGAAGGAAGGTTATATCACAGGAGACTCCAAGTGTCCAAAAAAGGGGGATTCCAACCTTGAAAAATGGCAACTAGAAAACAGTCTAGTAATGTCATGTCTGCTAAACACCATGACAAATGAAATTGGAGAAAATTTCTTGTACTATGATACTGCCAAAGAGATGTGGGATGCCGTAAAGGAAGCCTACTCTAATGTCGACAATACATCTGCAATATTTGAAATCAAGAGCATACTCCATGACTTGCGTCAAGAAGACCGCTCAGTCAGAGTATTTTAATACTCTCAATCGTCACTGGCAGCAACTGGATGTATATGATGAAGCTGAATGGAGCTGCACAGAGGATAATAAGAAGTACAAAGAATTGGTGGAAAAAGATAGAATCTACAAATTTCTCTTAGGTTTGAACACAGAACTTGATGAAGTTCGTGGGAGAATCCTTGGAACCAAACCTCTTCCAAATATTCGAGAAGCATTCTCGGAAATACGAAGAGAGGAAAGCAGGAGAAAAGTGATGCTTGGAAAATCCAGTGCAGCCCCATCTATAGAAGGATCTGCAATGGCAGCAAGGGGAGATCATCGATCTTTCCAAAAGAAAACACGGCCATGGTGTGACCACTGCAAGAAACCGGGTCATACCAAAGACACATGTTGGATCATTCATGGAAAGCCATCAGAGCTAAAATGGAGCAAAAACCGGGACAGCAGAGGGAGCACAACTGAGGTAAATTCTCACTCATCACCATTCAACAAGGAGCAAATGGAAGCCTTACAAAAATTGCTTCAACAAACAATTGGTACAGCTACTGTGGCACAAAAAGGTAATTTTTTGCATGCTCTAAACACTAGCAGGGGAAAACAAAAATCATGGATTATTGACTCAGGAGCATCTGATCACATGACTGGAGATTTGACTGTCTTTGATAGCTATTCTCCATGTCAAAATAATTCGACTGTTCGAATTGCTGATGGTACCCTTTCTAAGGTCATGGGTAAAGGTTCAGTCATTATTTCGCAAAATATTACTCTTAGTTCAGTACTGTATGTGCCTAAACTTGATTGTAACTTGCTGTCCATAAGTAAACTTACAAAGGATTTGAAGTGTATCACTAAATTCTTTCCTAACCTGTGTGAATTTCAGATTTTGGAGTCGGGGAGGACGATTGGCAATGCTAAAGAATGTGCTGGACTCTATATCCTTCAGGCTGAAGCATCTAAACCAGAATTCGAGGCAACCTCTTGCGCTGTAGTTTCTGCATGTAGTGAAAATTCTGCAATGCTGTGGCACTATAGACTAGGCCACCCAAATTTTATGTACTTGGAAAAAATGCTTCCTAAACTATTCAATAAAAATCAGAAGTTGTTTCAATGTGAAATTTGTCAATTGTCCAAACATACACGCAGCCCCCACCCACCTCAACCCTATAAACCTTCCCAACCTTTTTATGTTATTCATAGTGATGTATGGGGACCATCGCGGGTCAGAAATGTAACTGGAGCAAGATGGTTTGTCACATTTATTGATGACCACACACGGATCACTTGGGTCTACCTTATGAAAGATAAATCGGAAGTTGGTAGGATATTTGAATGTTTCCATACCATGGTGCAAACACAATTTCAAAGCAAAATTAGAGTGCTTAGGAGTGATAATGGTCGTGAGTACTATAATTCTGCACTAAGCTCATACTTTACGCAACATGGAATAATACACCAAACCTCATGTGTGGATACACCTCAGCAGAACGGGGTTGCCGAGAGAAAGAATAGACACCTCCTAGAAGTAACCCGATCTCTCATGCTAGCTACAAATGTACCTAACCAGTTTTGGGGAGAAGCTGTCCTCTCTGCAACCTATCTAATAAACAGAATGCCTTCCCGAATCCTTAACTTTCATACGCCTTACTCCACTCTCCAAACCTTATACCCAACCAATCGTATTCTTACATCTATTCCTTTGAAAATATTTGGATGCACAACCTTTGTCCATAATCTTGATCCCCAACGCAGTAAACTTGACCCGAAATCCATTAAATGCATATTCCTCGGCTACTCTCCTCACCAAAAGGGATACAAATGTTATTCACCTCAAAACAAAAAATTCTACCACACCATGGATGTAACCTTTTTTGAGAATCAGCCATATTACCCCAAAGTTGGCATTCAGGGGGAGAACACACATCCAATTGAAGTGGTAGAATCCCAACTTTTGGAACTTGAGCTAACTGAACCCAAACTCACTGCAGAGGCATCAAAACCTACACCTGAACCAAATGAAAATGCAACAGAAACTGCAGAACTTACATGTGGACCAGAAGAAACTACGTTAGAAAATACAGAGGAAATTGCAGTAGAAACTGCAGCCCCTACAACAGAAACTGCAGCCCCTACAACAGAAACTGCACCAGGAAACAACATGAAAGTGTACTCCAGGAAGAACATGAAGGGAATAGAGTCCTGCACAACTCCAAGGCAGAACCAAGAAACCTCCAAGACTCCAGAAAATGGCGTTCCCTCAGGTAATACTGCTCCTAACTCTGTGAATGTTGATATTGATATTCCTATTGCGTTGAGAAAAAATGTAAGATCCTGTACCAAACATCTCATTGAAAGATTTGTATCTTATGGAAAATTGTCCCAAAGTTACAAGACTTTTGTAACAGCTCTTGACAATACACATATTCCAAGCAACATCCATGAGGCACTCCAAAATTCTGAATGGGCAGCAGCTGTAACGGAAGAGGTTCAGGCCTTAATTAAGAATGGCACTTGGGAAATCACAAGCCTACCTGCAGGGAAGAAGCCGGTAGGATGCAAATGGATATTCTCCATGAAGTATAATGCAGATGGGAGTGTAAATCGGTACAAAGCTCGACTTGTAGCAAAGGGATTTACTCAATCATATGGAGTAGATTATGAAGAGACTTTTGCACCGGTGGCAAAACTAAACTCCGTCAGAGTTATTCTCTCTTTGGCTGCAAATTTAGATTGGCCACTCCATCAACTAGACATCAAGAATGCCTTCTTAAATGGTGACCTAGAAGAGGAAGTTTATATGCAGATTCCTCCTGGACTCGAATCATCCAGCACCGCAAATATGGTGTGCAGGCTCCGAAAATCCCTTTATGGCCTCAAGCAGTCCCCAAGGGCGTGGTTTGATAGATTGACTCGAGTTGTCAAGAAAGACGGGTTCAACCAATGCCAATCAGATCACACTATGTTTGTTAAACACTCCATGGAAGGAAAGGTAGCTTTGTTTATTGTTTATGTGGATGATATCGTTATTACAGGAAATGATTATGATCAAATTGATCATTTAAAGGGACTCTTGGCAAAGGAATTTGAAGTTAAGGACTTGGGACAACTTAAGTATTTTTTAGGGATGGAAGTTGCTCGAACAAAGGATGGTATCTATGTATCACAAAGGAAATACACCCTTGACTTACTTCAAGAAACTGGAATGCTTGGGTGCAAGGCAGCTAATACACCAATAGAACAAATAAAAGGAAGAGAAGATGAAAGTCCACCAGCCGACAAAGATAGATATCAAAGTCTAGTTGGGAAACTAATCTACCTATCTCACACTAGGCCTGACATTGGGTTCGCTGTAAGCTTGGCTAGTCGCTACATGTCAAATCCAACCGAGTCTAACATGAAAATGGCGAATAGAATTCTCCAATACCTCAAAGGCACACCAAGTCGAGGCCTCCACTTCAAGAGAAATTCAAACAGGGACATTGAAGTTTATACAGATTCAGATTGGGCAGGATGCTCCACAGACAGAAAATCGACTACAGGTTATTGTTCATTTGTGTGGGGGAACCTAGTAACTTGGCGAAGCAAGAAACAAACTGTAGTGGCGAGGAGTAGTGCAGAAGCAAAATTTAGAGCTATGGCCCTAGGTATTTGTGAAGGAATGTGGCTTAAGAGCATGCTAGATGAAACCAAAATTTCAGTGAACCATACTGTGAGGTTACTATGTGATAACAACGCTGCTATAAGCATTGCAAAGAACCCAGTCCAACATGATAGAACAAAACATGTGGAAATTGACCGACACTTCATTAAAGAAAAAATTGATCATAAGATTATAAGTATTGATCATGTCCCATCATGCAAGCAAACTGCAGATATCTTAACCAAGGCTCTTCCAAGGAATACTTATGAAAATATCAAATCCAATCTGGGTATGATAGACATCTACCACCCAGATTGAGGGGGAGTGTTGAAGATTAGCACATATCAAATCATAATCATTTGATTTTGATTTGTCAAGCTGTTACAAAACAGTGGTGTAAATAGATTTATTATCTATTATTCTGATTTCCTTATTTAGGTAGCAACAATTATAGGAAATTATTTCTCTGTTTATTAACAAATTAGTGTACTGTATTCTATATATACCTCACAATGTAACAGTTCCAATATAATGAAATATACAACGTATTTCTATATAGATAATCTAGTTAGTCTTGCATCTAGGAAATAACATCCATGCACCTAGGAAATAACATTATTATTAATCTCATTGTAAATGTAAATTGCAATTATTTCTAGTAGTATATATAAATAGATCAGCTGAGTGTAAATCACTCGAGCATTCCACAGATTTCTTAATCCTCTAAGACTTTTAACATGGTATCAAGAGCTTGTTCATTTCTCCATTAAGGGTTTCTATCTCTGGTCCAGTAGAACCCTTGAATCTTCCTTGGTTTGAAAAAAAAATTTCTTCCATCCAAAAGTCATTGTTATCTTCATTTTCTGGTCTCCATTTCTAGTTGTTGCTTGCTGGTCCACTCAGTTTTTTTGAAGAAAATGGGTAGTCCTCAATGCACATATTGCAAAAGAATGGGTCACAATCAAAAGACATGTTACTCTCTTCATGGTTTTCCTGGAAAATCATCTCATAGGTCGACTGCCACTAGTGTTCATGCTTCCGCAACCTTCATATCTCAATCTTGTAACAATCAAAATCTTTGGATAATTGATTCAGGTGCCTATGATCATATTGCTGGTAATCGTTCCTTATTCTCTTCCATATCCTCTCATAAATTTCCTCACTTCATAATTCTAGCAGATGGTTCTAAGGTCACCGCCAAAGGAATCGGCCATGTTTCTGTCACTCTTTCTATAACTTTGAAATCAGTTTTGTTTATACCTGGTTGTCCTTTTAATTTAATCTCCCTTAGCCAACTTACTTGGTCTCTAAATTGCACAATAACCTTTGATGTTGGTTCGCTTACTATACAGGAACGTGGTATAGGTCGGACGATTGGCTCAGGACATGAATCACATGGTCTTTATTACCTCCATTCAGTTTCTTCTGTAAGTTGTACTACAATTGAGTCTCCAAACTTTCTTCATGAACGATTGGGTCATCCAAGTCTGTCAAAATTAAAACAAATGGTTCTGAATCTTGCAAAAATTTCATCATTAAATTATGAGTCGTGTCAACTAGGAAAGCATGTTTGCTCTTCCTTTCCAAGCAAAGTTGAAAGTCGAGTTGATTCTCCCTTTTCTGTTATCCATTCAGATATATGGGGACCAAGTCGTGTGCCTTCTTACGATTACCGATATTTTGTTATTTTCATTGATGAATTCTCCCGATGCACTTGAGTTTTCTTAATGAAAGAACGATCTGAACTTTTGTCCATTCTCACCACTTTTGTCAATGAGGTTAAAACCCAATTCGGTAAGAAAATCAAAATTCTTAGAAGTGATAATGCAAAAGAATATTTTTCTTCTAGTCTTTCTTCCTTTTTGTCATCACACGGTATTCTCCATCAATCAAGTTGTCCTCATACCCCTCAACAGAATGGCATAGCTGAAAGGAAGAATAGGTATCTTGTTGAAACTGCTCGAACCTTGTGACTTCATGCAAATGTACCTGTCCGACATTGGGGTGATGCAGTTTTGACATCCTATTTTTTGATTAATCGAATGCCTCCGTCCTTTCTTGATCATAAAATACCACATTCCATTCTATTTCCCAAAGAATCGTTGTTTCATATTGCTCCTCGGATATTTGGATGCATCTGTTTTGTTCATGACTTGTCTCTAGGTCTTGATAAGCTTTTTGCCCGAGCCATAAAATGTGTTTTTCTGGGGTACTCTAGGTTACAAAAATGTTACAAATGTTACTCCCCTATGCAGAATCGTTACTACATTTCTCCAGATGTAACATTCTTCGAAGAAAAGTTTTACTTCTCACCATCCAGAGTTGACTCCCATACTACTCAAGAAGTTTTTTCAATTCCTTATCTTGGTCCATCACCTTCCCTTGTCCCAGAATCAGTTTTGACTACTAATATTTCTGAAAATTCTCCTCTTGAGCAATTTCAAAGATCACCCATCGTATACCAACGTCGTCCACGTGTTGCTAATACAGAATTGAAAGGCACTGAAAGACGATATGAATCATGTCCTGCACCAACAAATGACCCTACTACAAACCTTCATGAAGAAAATCTTGAATTGCCTATGGCTCTTCGAACAGGTACTCGGTCTACTAGCAATCCCCATCCTATTTATAACTTCCTAAGTTGCCATCGTCTCTCTCCTTATTATTCTTTTCTATATCTTCTATTTCCATTCCTAAAAATGTTTTTGAAGCACTTGATCATCCAGGATGGCGACAAGCCATGATTGATGAAATGAAAGCTTTAGAGCATAGTGGTACTTGGGAATTAACTCCTCTCCCTCCGGGAAAGAAACCAATCGGATGTCGATGGGTATATGTTATTAAAGTTGGGGCCAATGGTCAGATTGATCGTCTCAAAGCTTGACTTGTTGCAAAAGGATATTCCCAAGTTTATGGACTTGATTATGGAGATACTTTCTCTCTTGTGGCCAAAATAACGTCTGTTCGATTATTTATTGCCATGGCTGCCATCCGTCATATGTCATTATATCAGTTGGATATTAAAAATGCGTTTCTTCATGGTGAGTTGGAAGAAGAAATTTATATGGAGCAACCTCCTGGATTTGTTGCTCAGGGGGAGTCTGGTTTAGTTTGCAGATTACGACGATCTCTCTATAGTTTTAACACAGTCACCACGAGCATGGTTTGGAAATTTTAGTTCAGTTATTCAAGCTTTTTGGAATGAAACATAGTGAAGCAGATCACTTTGTCTTCTATTGTCATACATCTCCAAATAAATGTGTTTATTTGGTGGTTTATGTAGATGATATAGTCATAACAGAGAATGATCGGGAGAAAATTTCTCAGTTGAAAGAACATTTATGTAGCCATTTTCAAACAAGGACTTGGGGAAGCTTAAATATTTTCTTGGGATTGAAGTTGCTCAGTCAAAGGATGGAATTATCATCTCATAAAGGAAGTGTGCCTTAGACAAACTTAAAGAAACCAGTATGTTGCAATGTAAACCACTTGACAGTCCCATGGATCCGAATGTAAAATTACTTCCTAGTCAGGGGAAGCCTTATTCTAATCCAGAAAGATATCGGAGATTGGTTGAAAAACTCATTTATCTAACTATAACAAGACTAAATATTTCCTTTGCAGTTGGCGTAGTAAGTTAATTCATGCAGTGTCCGCATAATGATCATTGGGATGCAGTGACCCGAATTCTAAAGTACATTAAAAGGGCTCCAAGACAAGGACTACTTTATGAAGACAAAGGGGACACTCAAATAGTTGGATTTTGTGATGCAGATTGGACAGGTTCGCCTATTGATAGGCGTTCTACTCCAGGATATTGTGTTTCTATTGGTGGGAATCTTGTCTCTTGGAAGAGCAAGAAGCAAAATGTGGTTGCAAGGTCTAGTGCAAAGGCTGAATATAGAGCTATGGCTACAGCCACTTGTGAACTTTTAGATTAAACAACTTCTTCAAGAGTTAAAGTTTGGAGATACTCAACCAATGAAACTATGTTGTGATAACCAGACAGCTCTATATATAGCTTCCAATCCGGTATTCCACGAGAGAACTAAGCATATTGAAATTGATTGTCATTTTGTTCGTGAGAAAGTTCTTTCTAAAGAAATCATCACTGAGTATATTACCTCAAATGACCAATTGGCAGACGTCTTCACAAAATCACTAAGGGGACCGAGAATTCAATACATTTGTTCCAAGCTTGGAGCATTTGACTTATATGCTCCAGCTTGAGGGGGGGTGTTGAAATTAGTAGCAATTATGAAATGTTGGAATTAGTAACAATTATTAGTATGGGATGTTGCAGAATCTAGTTAGTCTTGCATCTAGGAAATAACATCAATGCACCTAGGAAATAGCATTATTATTAATCTCATTGTAAATGTAAATTGCAATTATTTCTAGTAGTATATATAAATAGATCAGCTGAGTGCAAATCACTCGATAGTCCTGTTCATCCTTGATTCCTCGTCCCTTCCAAGTCTATCATTGTCGGAAGCCTCCATCTTAAACACACATGCTTCCACCTTAGCATCAGTGCCTCCACTTACACCTCTTGTGGACTCTTCTTTGCCTAAACTCCTCCCCGTGCTCCAACTTAGGCCTGCTATATTTTACTACACTCTTCTTGTTGCACTTTATGGTCTACCTGTAATTATTCTCCGCATTATTTTACTTTTAGCTATTGTGCCTGTCCCCTTCACATTTTGCCTTTCTTTCTGTACCTATTCCTTTGGCTGTATGTGAAGCTTTTTCGAATCCTAACTGGCGACAGACTGGTGTAAGAAATGTTTGCACTTTAGAGAAGTTGAGCTGTGACATTGTTGCTCTTCCTCCGGGGAAGTTGGTTGTTGGATTGGATGTTGGTTGGTCTTTATGGTTGAATTTGGTTCTGATGGTTAGGTTGATTTACTTGAGGCAAAACTATTTGTCTAAAGGGTATACACAAGATTTTTGTTTAGCTTATTGCGACATATTTTTCTCCATGACTAAAATGGCTTTTATTTTTGCTTGTTTTTGTCCTGGCTTCTATTTTCCACTGGCCTCTTCACTGGTTTCACATTAATAATGCTTCTCTCCCTGCTGATCTAAATGAAGAAGTTTATCTGCAGCAACTTCCTCAATTTATTGCTAAGGGGGAATCATCAGGGTCAGTTTGTCATTATTGCAAATGTCTATATTACCTTAAATAGTCGCCCACAGTATGGTTTAGAAGATTTAGCTACATTGTTCAGCAGTCTGATATGACTTGAAGTGAGACCGATCACTTGGTCACCACTGTCCCACAAGTTGTATTTATATGGTTCTGTATTTTGATTGCTTTGGTATTACATGTAATGCTCATCATGATATTGCTCCAATAAAACATTTTGTCGCTATTTTAAGACAAGATCTTAACCAGCCTCGACACTTCTTGGGGATAGACGTGGCACGATCCAAGGATTGTATTATAAATACTAAGGAATATCAAGTATGTCATGGACATTACGGGGGAAGCCACTCTTAGAATCATAAAGAGGCATATCATATCATTGGTAGGCCAACTAAATCATCTAACAACAACTCACCCACATATACCCTTTTCTGTTACGTGGCAAGTTAATTTCTTAACTCACATTGTAAAGGCAGCTCCATGAAGGAATACGTGGTAAGTCAATTTCTTAACTCACATTGTAAAGGCAGCTCCATGAATACGTGGTAAGTCAATTTCTTAACTCACGTTGTAAAGGCAGCTCCATGAAGGTATACTTTGCTCCTTGTAGTACATTAAGGCAGCTCCATGAAAAGGACTTGTGTCTAACTCTAACATGGTATCATAGTCTATCGGTTCGGGCCTCCCATCATTTATATGCGCTCCAAGCCAAATAGTGCTGGGCGTAATGGGGTGTACTGGAAAAATCAATCCACGCACCAAGTCCAATAGTGTTGGGCGTGAAGGGGTGTATTGGGAAAAACTCAAGTCCCACATTAATTAAAGATAGAGCCTATAAAAGGTTTATATAGAGTGGCATCGCTCACCTTAAGGTCCAGTTTTGTAGATGAGTTGGGACAAACTCTAATTCTAACACTAGGGTTGCAGCTGTAGCATTGTTTGTGGTGTTGTGGTGGTGTAATCGCAGAGATCATCCGAACCAGAAACGTGGGAAGAAGGTGCTTCATTTATTTAATTTTAAATGCAAAATATTGCAAGTGCCCTCGAATATGATTGTATGGTATAAATTATCTGTATTATTTTCTTAGACTTCGATGTGCTATTTGGGGTTGGCCGCTACAGTATTTGCTACTAACTACATAGATTCAATATTTTGTGAGAGATCAAAGCATGTTAAGATATACTGTTATTTTCTTGGCAAGAAGATTTTAATTTTATCTAGAGACATGACCACTATCTTTATAGATTCAAATGATCAATACACAGGTGTTTTCACCAAGTCTTTAATTGGTCCTCATAGACTATATATATATAACAAGCATGGTGCATATTTATATGCTCCAGTTTGAGTAGGAATGTTATAAATGATGTAAATAAGTAGTTGTAGTTGATAGTATCTTGTAAATATCATAAATATTATATAGGGTAATATTCATAATTGTATTTATTTCCTCTCTGTCAACAATCTGTTTATTTTGTTCAGGTGAGTTTCAAAATTTACCAAGACTGTTGGCCCTTGCTAGAGAATCAGTTTAAGCATGCTATAAAAGAGAATTATCAGAATCACTCTCACAAGTTTAATCCTGAACTCAATGCAAGACAGGTAAGCTTCATTTTAACCTATTGCAAATTGATTTTACTTGCAACTATTATCTTCTGCTTTTCCTTTCTTTGCTCTGTCCTTTCTTTTTGAGTAAAAGGAACTTTTTATATTACTACTAATTCTTTTTTAGATTTTGTTATCATGTTACAGGTAAGAAGTCTGTTAGAAATGTTTCGTGCATTGGATGTACCGACAATTGTACCCAGACATCCTGGCTTGAATGAAATACACTCTGCCTCAATGTTGCAACTTCCACCAAGGAATGGTGTGTTTCATCAGACATCAGGGGCATGTCTTTCTGGAGATTCATATTTGTCTAGGATGTTTCCTACTCACGCTTCTAAGCTGATGAGCCATAGATATCTAAATGGACTTGAGGAGCCTACTGGCTGGTCTGGATCCATTGCCACTCAGTCTTATCCATCCCAAGCTTCAAGAAATCAGATCCTTGCACTAGCTCATGCTAATACTCCAGAGGGAGCTTATGAAACTAGGACTGTCAGCAGTCATACTCCATCACTGCCATATCCTCAATACGCACATGAGAATTTCCTTAACCCGCAAGCTGAGTTTCATTCATTCCTCAGAAACGACAGTGGCCATGCTCAGTCAATGCATAATTCTCAGCGTGCACAGCTTAATGTTTTACATTCACAACCTGAATTTTATTCTTCCATGATGACTATGGGTAGAAATCATACTCAACCCCTGCAACATTCCCAACATCAACATCTCAATGTCGTCCATACACGGGCTCAATTTCATTCTTCCACAGTGACTGTGGGTAGTATAAATAGTCATGATCAATCTCTGCAATATTCTCAACAGGCACACCTTAATCATAATGTCTTACTTCCGCCACATGAGTTTCATTCTTCTATGATGACGGGCAGCAGTTATACCCAATCACTGCAAGATTCTCCACCACCACCTGGTTTTGAGCCCCCAGTGGAAAATGTGAGCCGCAGTCATGCCCAAATGCCGTGGGATCCTCACAGTACTCATCAGAATATCCAAAACCCGCAACCTGACTATTATTCCTCTGCAACAAATGTGAGCAGCAGTTATGGTCAATCATTTCTTGGTGCTCAGCACACATATCTGGAAGCTCAAAATCGACAGCCTGATTACGGTTCATCGGTGAATATGAACCATACCAATGTCGTGATGCAATCACATGCTACATCTCCATATGTTCCTCAACATGTTATATCCACCACATATTCTGTTCAAGGGTATTTCTCACTTTTTTTTTTGGATTAAATAATTCCAATCCGTAATATCCTTTAAAATTTATCTGCAACCTTTATTTGACATGGGGATTATATTAATTCTCTTAACTCAAATTCATCAAGTGAAACCGTGTTTGAGTTCATGTGTGGAAGGCCAACCTCACATTTTTATCAAAGCATGAAAGTCAATTCAAAAATTTAAATTTGTTTGCTGAACAAGCATATTTAGCTAATGTGAAGTGCATTTTGATAATACCTAATGTGGTTTCTGTTCCCCAGGTCTGGAGTGGACCCATACAAGAGGTGATACCCAATGTTCAACAAATTGGAATGGGAAGTGAGTACTGTCAGCCATATAAGCAGTTCAATATCAAAGAGTGCTGTCAGCAACACATGTATTCAGCAAATTCACATTCTCTGTACTGAACCACATGTTCAAATGTTGAGTCTTGGTAATACAGTTTGATATGTACATAAACGTGCGGCACATGAACCTATTAGTTGATTCCTGATGTGGGGTCGGTGGCTTTCGTTTTCTTGCTGAGAAATTTGTCGCGGCCTTCAATGTTTGATTATATATACTAGGAAATCTATATTCGGACAAATTTGCTGTAAAAATATGATTGCTGCAATTGACTGGTCCTGGGAAATCCACTAGGACCCAATATATAATTTTTGGGCATTACATCCCCACCATTACTCGTGAGGAGTCACTCTCAGTAACTCCAGAGTCGTCCTAAACTTTTGAGTGACCCCTGTCGAAGAAGCGAAAATTAGCTTTAGTCAAGTTGTGAAATCTTTTTATAGGTAAGTGAGCCAAATACAAAAGTATATTTTTAGACGCACTCATATTCACCAAATCCACGTGTAAGTGAACCACACCATTATTTTTGATAGATTTAATACCATTTTTAGTCCAATATCTTAACTTCAAGTTTTATTTTGATCCATTAACTTTAAAAAATTCCTATTGATCCCTTGAATCTTTAAAAAGTATTATGTTAATTTTTTTTATCTAATTAGCAATGATTTATAATTTTTTTCGTCGTTAATAAGACATAGGACTAATATGAAACAATTTGAAGAGTAAGATTGATATTAAACTTTTTTAAGTTAAGAGATCAAAATAAAAAGTAGAGTTAAGATACATGATAAAAAAAGATATTAAGCTTTTTTTATAGAAATTATTAGTGAGATGCATCTCTGTAATTAAATATGGAAATATACTTCCTTAATCACTCTTAACATAGTAGAATTTGACATTTTTGGAGAAATGTAATATGCCATTTGTAATAATTATACTATCATAATAATTTTATTATCAATTATAAAATTAAAATGACATATATTAGAATCGATCTGGAATCCATAACACTAAAATTGACAAATTACAAAACTATAATACTATTCATAATTCATAATACAAATACTATAAAATACTATTGTGTATATTGGATCTCCTGTTCCTTTTCTGTCTCTTGTACAACAATGTTGTCAGTGCCTCAAATATAAACATCTATAATGGCTCTCTCATATGTGCTTTTCGAAAAGTCTCATCTCTTTATATCCGTTTGCGCAATGACCTCTATACGACAACATGCAAGTAACACATCAACGACATGATCTATCCTAGTCAGTTCCTCCAATAATATCTCCTAAGTGATCTCCGTGAGCATCTTGTATCATGTAAGGATGTGACACTCTAAAATACTATTAGATGTAGCTGAATGCACTACTCCATTCGCGAGGAGCTACCACACTTCATGATTTCTAGATGATTATAAAAATTATCATACATCACATCTACATTTCTGCGGACCAGAGTGAAAGGAGCAGACATGAAGGATTCTCTTGAAACAACATGCAGATACTCGAAGTAGCGCATGACTTGCTCTGATAGATGTATATACATCAGACGCGACCCATAAGCCAACCATCTAAAATAGAAGGTTATGTAAACCAAGGGACTCATCTAACGGTGATCATCGTACGACCGAAAGCGTATATCATTTGTTGTAGTGTTGTTAAGAAACACTCTAAAGGGCTCATTCAACTGATTCTCTCTGACCGGGATGAATGCACAAGCATGTGGCTGATACTCAGCGTAGCCATCAACATATGACTAGTCGGTGAGGCGTGGAAAGTGTTGGAAGATCTTGAAAATGATACATATGAATTATTAGTAATGACGTAGTATAAGTGTTACGAAAATGGTATATTAATAGTAAATGATGCAAATATATTACCTAAAATATCGTGGAACTAGCTGTCATTTGTTTAGTATTCCAAAGACAACCTTCAACAAATTTTGAGTACATGTAAATCAAACAAGCAACCACCTCAGCCGTTGATCAGCGTATTTTGATGCACAATCCTCTATGTTTGTACTTAGGCATTTCCATGGTTTATTTTTGTTTACTTTTATGTTTTAATATGTTTTTCTAATTTATTTTATTTTTGCACTTATTTGATTTTCGTATTTAATTTTCAGCTTTAACAGCTTTCACGAATAAATTCATAAATGGAGCTACGAGAGTCGGATCGAGGCGTTCTAGTACTTGTTGGAAAGCTAAGAGAAAAAGCTACGACTTTTATGAAGAAGTCAGAAGCTGATTCGGTCTGTAGAAGACCTGAAAGTTACGTTGAAGTTACAACATTAGTTTTATTTTTGGGTCGTTAGTTTTTGGCCTGGGTTATGTATTTGACCCAATTGGGTTATGACCCGAACTATTTAATTTCGTTTACACCTAGTACACGATGGTTCATCGACACAATTGAGACGATTGGAACGAAAAAGCTTTTGCTCTGTACAAAATTCCATGAAGAACTAATTCATCGGAGTTGATCTGCTGTAATTTTGGTTCTGAAACTTGAGGTTAATATAATTTTGCAATTCAATTTCTATTCACATCAATCCTATTTTGTGTTATTCGTTTGCTTAATCCGAATTATCATAGAGTAATTTTGTTAGTTCGGTTGATTTGTGTTTCCCAAACTTGATTGCATTATATCGTTTGCTTAATTCGTTATTTCGTTATTGCTTAACCGTTTGCTTAATTCGGTGAAAAGGAAATGTAATTCTTATAAATTTTTTCGCGCTTGTTGATTGATTTGTGATCGAATATGAATAGATTCCCCTTATGACAGTGAAATTATTGTAATCGATGATAGATAGGAACCGAAATAGCAGATTAACTTATTTCCACAATCACTTATTTTAAGCACTTATTTTATGTTTTTTTTACAACTCGATCTTAAAGCCAAACCCCCAATCCGGTTACATTGTATTGATACAAACAAGAATCCTTGTGAGACGATTCGAGTCACTGTCGTTGTACTACGTTTTAAAATAACTCGTTTTTGAGCCGTGCGCGACAACAGATCAGCCGTACTAATGAATCTCTCAAAGTCAATGAAATATCAAAGATAAACGACATCAACGTAATAATCACTCGGCCTCCATTGCTGCAACCAAATGATATGCATATAAGTTCTATAGGAATTCAAATCTGGCATGACAACCTATGGTGTCTCCTGACTCCTTTAGGGCATCCTTTAGGTTACCTCTCAAAAATTTCACCATCATCTCCAGTGTATCAGGTCCGGTTATCGTGGAGTAATCTAATAATATTCCCCTGATCGGAAGATGTAGTAGAGATGACACATCATCAGTGTGATGGACATGTCACCACGTGGAAGATAAAAATATGACGTCTCAGAGTTCCATCTCTCAACAAACACTAACGATATACCACTGTTAATAGTAGTATAATTGGTCACACATATATCCCATAGCTCAAATAGCTGCATGACATAATGAAACCACCTCTCCCCCGGCTGCTGCAGCCTCACAATCTTCCTACCATAGTTGATGCATTTTAAAGCATCACAAAATTGCAAGAAATACATCATCGTTAAAAATTCCGAAGATTATAATACATGTGTTTCAAAGAATAAATATAGATAAAATTTACCTCACTGTCCCATGGATCTATGTGCTTGCAGGTTATCAATTTTGTGATCATACTAATAACCTTCCTAAAGTTTTGATGACGACAACATCAATGACTATTGAAGTCGGTAAAGTTGGTAGTAACGGTGTTCTAACTCTTTGATGACGGTGACAAAACTTAAGGACATATCAAGCCTCATCTAGTTAGACAATTAAGACTTAATTTAAGTGTTTATATGAGCAACATATCTGACAAAAAGTATTGAAGGCCCCATAGTTGTGAAAGAGAGAAAGTGGGAAGCTTGCCTTCTCATGTTTGTCTGAGTGACCAAAATTTTGTAAAAATAAGGAAGTAACTCCTAAGATACTAAGGCAACTACCACACACACAAACACACACAAGAAACCTCTTTTTTTATTTATAATTTTTTTAAAAAATATTTTCAAACTTGAGCCAAGTGATTAAGATAGTGTCGTCTTTATTTTTGAAGTCTTTTTGAACTAACCAATTGACTGGAACCTTAAAACGATCGATTGGAAGATATTTTTGAACTACCCAATCGGTTAGGACCTTAAGACAATTGATAGGAAGATTTTTTGAACTAACAAATCATTTGGGACCTTAAGCCAATAGATTGGAAGAAGCCTAAACGAGTGTATAATCAATTATGACAATGTCTTAATGACTGAGAACGACTCCATATAAAATCTTTCCATTTTCGGCCAAGAAAATTGGTTTTTTAGGTTAACCAATCAATTGGAACCTTTGTCCAATCGATTAGGACATTAAGAAGGCCCATGGATTGTTTCTTTTTTCAGTTTTTCCTTCTCCTGTATAAAAGAGGGTCACCTCCTCTTCATTTCACACAAATTCCCAAAGTTTTACATTTTTTTGAAATTTATCTCTCTATTTTTCTCCCTATCTCTCTAGAAATATTTTTCTTCACTTAAAGTTACTTTGGTGCGTTTGAGTGAACACTACTTGTGAGGAAGAAATTATTTGAGTCAAGTGTCCTTGTGATTACTTTCAAGAGTGTGACACTCGAAGAATAGAGTTTGGTTCTTGAGATTAACCAGTCTTAAAATCTCTGTTTGGTTCTTTAAGATTAGCCTGAAAAATATCTAGCTTGATTATTATTTTGGCTTGGGTAAAAGCTTCTTGTCTGATCGAGAATAAGCCATTGTAAAGATCACCTTGTATAAAAAGGTTAATGGGCATAACCTGTAAAAGGTCAAAGTTTTAGTCAAAATTTCAAGAAGATCTCTTAAGGATAAGACAAGGCCAACATTCGACCAAACATACATAAATCTCTAACCCTATCCTTTTACTATATGCAATTTACTTTCAATATTTTA